CGTGCTGCCTGCACTGAAGAACAGCTCAAGCTTGCCCCACCGCCTATGTGGCTCACCTTCCACTGGTTAGTCACTCGCCTCCCTGACCGCCTCTCCTCCGTCCGCGACGTGCTTCTCCTGAAGCACCCCACTGAGATCACCATCGAGCTTCTCGAGGCTACCCTCACTAAGATCGAGAGCAACCTCTTCGCTGTTGCCGCTGCCACTACTGCAGTGCCTCCCCGTCTCTTTGACGGGTGCGCTACACCCCAGCTTTCCACATTCACTACTTTTCTTGCCACTGCTGCATTGTCTAGTTCTGAAGACTGCAGCCGTTTCTGTCGCTAGTGGACAGAAACAGGGCAAGGGAGGTAGGAGAGGGGGGAAGGTTGGTGGTGGCGGTGGTGGTGGTGGCGGTGGTGGAGGTGGTGGCGGCGCTGGTGGTGCCGGTGGTGGCGGCGGTGCTAGTGCGTTTAATGGAGCCGCACTGGAGGTGGTACTGGGCTTGCGGGCCGGATGGAAGAGGTTTTCGGGCTAGTTTCTTGGTATACGGAACAGCATCGACAACAGTTCTAGCAGCAGCAGCCACAGCAGGGACAGCAGCAGCAGTAGGGACAGCAGCAGCAAGGACCTGGTGGGCCAGGGAGCGCTGGACGTGGCGGTGGTCCACCCAGCTGGGCGCCGTCTGGTGTCACTCCTCCCTGCCGGTACGTGGTTCAGACGGGCTCTCGTCAAGGTCAGCCCTATGGTCGTTTTCACCCTCCGAGTCAGTGCTTCGCTCAGCTCACATACCGTCTCCGTGCTGAGTACGGCTCTGGCCCCGTTCCGGAATGGGCTCTATTGGTTTGGTCGTAGAGTTGGTTCGCTCCCGTAGAGTTGGTTGGTTCGTAGAGTTGGTTCGCTCCCGTAGCCCAGCGTTGTTTTGAGATGACTGCAGTACAGTTGTTTGATGCTTTGCAATCTGATTATGCGATATATACTGATGTTGCCAGCTTGTTCGTAGTCCAGGATCCTTGCCTGTTGCGAGTGTAGGTGCATGTGCTTCTAGTCTAGATGCTTGTGTAGCTATTAGCTCAGGTGCACCTACGGCTAACGCGTCGCTCTCTTTTATGCGGGACTCTGGCGCGTCACAGTGCTTCTTCTGCGACCACACGACTCTCACGTCGCTTCCTACTCCGGGACTAGCATTTGCACGCAGCTCAACCACCTTCCCCTGCCCAGCTATCCGCTCTAGCGTCCTCACTGGTCTCCATATCCCCTTGTTTTCCAGGAACTTGGTGGATGTTGGATACCTTCAGGACCACCACGTCTACGTCTAGATTCCTCCGTCTGAGCGTGACGGGACCTGCATGGACGGTGACACATACGGTCCCCTGGCCACGTTAAGCCGGGAGCCCTTCTCCGGTCTCTTCACACTGCACACTCACTCTCCCCAGGTAGCTGCGTCTGGTTAAATGGTTGCGTCCGGTAATCGCTGCGTCATGCTCCTGTCAGTTGCCCACTTACTCGACAGTCCTGTGGCTCCACCGTCTTGGTCACCCGTCACTCCCACGCCTCCGTAGCATGTCTAGTCAGCATCTTGTCACAAGTCTCCCGTGCGTGTTTGTGTCGCTCCCTCCTTCGCATGCGCCGCCGTGCACTCCCTGGGTAAAGGGTAGGTTGTGCGCCACTCCTCACTCGTCCTCCCTTTGCCTGACCACCACGACTCTTCACTTGGACGTCTGGGGCCCTACCCCTTGCCTTGGACCTAGGAGGGAGAGCTTCTTCCTGGTGGTCGTTGACGAATGGAGCCGGCACTGGGAGGGAGAGCTTCTTCCTGGTGGTCGTTGACGAATGGAGCCGGCACTGGAGGTGGTACTGGGCTTGCGGGGCCGATGAAAGAGGTTTTTGGACCAGTTTCTTGGTACACGGAATATCAGCGACAACAGTTCCAGCAGCAGCAGCCACAGCAGGGACAGCAGTAGCAGTAGGGACAGCAACACAAGGACCTGGTGGGCCAGGGAGCAATGGACGTGGCGGTGGTCCACCCAGCTGGGCGCCGCGTGGTATCACTCCTCCTCCCTGCCCGTACGTGGTTCAAACGGGCTCTCGTCAGCGTCAGCCTTGTGGCCGTCTTCACCCTCCGGGTCAGTGCTTCGCGCAACTCACAGACCGTCTCTGCTCTCAGTACGGCTCTGGGCCCGTTCCAGACTGGGCCCCATTGGTTCGCTCTAGTGGCCCAGCGTTGTTTTGAGATGACTGCAGTAGATTTGTTTGATGCTTTGCAATCTGATTATGCGATGTATACTGATGTTGCCGGCTTAGGTCCTTCGCCTGTTTGTAGTCTAGGATCCTTGCCTGTTGCTAGTGTAGGTGCAGGTGCTTTTAGTCTAGATGCTTGTGTAGCTACTAGCTCAGGTGCACCTACGGGTGACGCGTCGCTCTCTTTCACGCTGGACTCTGGCGCATCTCAGTGCTTCTTCTGCGACCACACGACTCTCACGCCGCTTCGTACTTCGGGACCAGCACTTGCATGCAGCTCTACCACCCTCTTGTGCCCGGGTGTCCCCTCTGGCGTCCTCATTGGTCTCCACATCCCCTTGTTATCCAGGAACTTCGTGGGTGTTGGATACCTTCAGGACCACCACGTCGGCGTCTAGATTCCTCCGTCTGAGCGTGACGGGACCTGCATGGACGGTGACACGTACGCTCCCCTGACCACGTTTAGCTGGGAGCCCTTCTCCAGTCTCTTCACACTGCACACTCACTCTCCCCAGGTAGCTGCGTCTGGTTAGGTGGCTGCGTCCGGTCAGGTCGCTGCGTCGTGCTCCTGTCTGTCACTCACTTACCCGACAGCCCTGTGGCACCACCGTCTTGGTCACCCGTCACCCCCACGCCTCCGTAGCATGAGCATCTTGTCCTAGGTCTCCTGCGCGTGTTTACGTCGCTCCCTCCTTCGCCTACGCTGCTGTGCACTCCCTGCGTAGAGGGTAGACTGCGCGCCACTCCTCACTCCTCCATTTGCCCGGCCACCACGACTCTTTGCTTGGACGTCTGGGGCCCTACCCCTCGCCCTGGACCTGGGAGGGAGAGCTTCTTCCTGGTGGTCGTTGACGAATTCCCTCGCTACACCACCATGTCCCCCCTGCGGAAGAAATCCGATGTGACTTTTACCCTGATCCGATGGACTATACATGTAGCATGTAGCAACTCCCGTGAGGGGGAGTAGGAGCAAAGCACATCCAATATCCCAACAGTATCGGGGTTGAGGGAGTCTGGGGTTAGTAAAAAAACCTGTATATACGTTGTTTCCGTCAACATTACGCACGCAATGGATGTAGTTAGCAAATATGCGGTAGCTACTTTGTCGAGTCGCCCTGATGTTTTAAGAGGCCCCTCGCTCCTGTGCTAAATCTCGAGCGCGTTCAGCATGAGCCCATGCTTCTTCCCTCAGGCGATACGGCAATGGCGGGTTCTCGAAAGCGTAACGAGGTTCTGTGGACGATGGGTTCCCCATCTGCACGACGGAAGAGAATGACACAACATTGGTCGTTGAGAGCCTTACTGGCCATTGAGTTTCCCCGTGAATCGCGCAAACTAAGAACGACATTACGTGGGCATGTTGAATGATAGGGATCGCAAGCCATTTGCTGAGGATTCTCCGCAGGCACTAAATATTCCTCGCCAACAGGAAGGCATTTCATGTTGCCTCAGACAAGCGAAGCGCCACGTGCTTGTCTAAGATCGTTTCTTGCCGGTAAGGATTTAACTCATGCAGTGATGAAAGTTTGGCCTCTCGATTGCCGTCTCCCTTCGCAACGCCATGAGGGGCGTAAATCTAATTTGTTCAAGATTTTCTGACGAGATCGTTGCAGTTGTAAAATGTGTCAAATGTTATAGCCTCTAGTGGGTTATGCTATATGGGGTACAAACAGTTGGGGTTAGGTATTTTCCCCAACCCAATCAATACAACTCATTCCGCTGTTTTCAGTTACTAAGATGGTATCAGCAGTAGGTTCGACGTTCCTAGGCCACACCTAGTCTCCGCCGTTCCTAGACTTCGGCCGTCGCTAGCCTTGGCGTCCACGCCAGCGCGCACACCAGCTCGCCCCGCCAGCACGCACGCCAGCGCGCACGCCAGCGCGCCCCGCCAGCGCGCACGCCAACGCGCCCTGCCAGCTCGCACGCCAGCGCGCCCGCCAGCGCGTCACGCCAGCGCGCACGCCAGCGCGCTCGCCAGCGCGCCACGCCGGCGCGCACGCCAGCACGCCACGCCAGCGCACCGCGCCGCCCGCCCGCCAGCCAGCGCTCCGCGCCGCCCGCCAACCAGCGCGCCGCGCCGCCCGCCAGCTAGCGCGCCGTGCCGCCCGCCAGCCAGCGCGCCGCGCCGCCCGCCTGTCCGCATGCCGCGCCGCCTACCCGCCTGCACGCCTGCGCTCTTTCCCACACGCCACTGACTGTCTCACCCTCCCGCGGCTAAACGGTAGGGGTATATGGTATTGACTCCAAACTTTGAAGCTTCTGAAAGGCAAAGTTCATACGGTGAATGCACCGAAAATGTTTTTACCACACCATCACCAGAAAGCTTTCCACAGAATGCTTTCTCAAGGCTTTCTTTGACCTGCACTAACCAATGCCTAAACACCCAACTAATACCAAGAGGTTGTACTCAACTATAAGTATATTTTTGTACATAATATCTGATATGGTTGGGAAGATATGTACAGCGATATCCCTCTGCTTCCTCGCCATATCATACCACCAAGGTTGCGGAACCCTCTTCACAACCCACGACCATCACCCTCGCGTTCTTCACACCACTTGCAGAAACAAGGGAAGAAACACCAGAAGAACTAATCGGCACAGAAAAGAAACTCAAGCATTGACCTGCCTTTGATGAATACTGTACACTGTGCTGCTTCGCTGCTACACTCCCAGACAGGCCGTTAAAACCTCTTGCACCCTGCCGCATGGCTCCATTGGAATGAGAGCTAAGTTGCTCAAGCTCAGATGCCCACGCCCATGCAATAATGTCGCCGGAATCACTGAGAGGAGGAAAGCAGGGGAAGGGGAGGGTGTGGAAAACAGAGGAGCACTCAAAGGAGCGTTGGAATGAGGGTCAAGTGGCTCCAGCTCAGATGCCCAGGCCCATGCAATGATGTCGCCTGAATTGCTGAGAGGAGGAAAGCAGGGGAAGGGGAAGGTGGAAAATTGGGGGAGTGTTCAAAGAAGCGCCGGATGGACCATGAGGCAAGAGGGCCGAACGTCGGAGTGAGAAGGGAAGACGAGGCAAGAGGACCGAACGTCGGAGTGAGAAGAGAAGACGAGGCAGGAGGACCGAACGTCGGAGTGAGAAGGGAAGACGAGGCAAGAGGACCGAACGTCGGAGTGAGAAGGGAAGACGAGGCAAGAGGACCGAACGTCGGAGTGAGAAGGGAAGACGAGGCAAGAGGACCGAACGTCGGAGTGAGAAGGGAAGACGAGGCAAGAGGACCGAACGTCGGAGTGAGAAGGGAAGACGAGGCAAGAGGACTATCAGTGGTCCCAAGCTCTGAGAAAGGAGAGAAGAAGATGAGGTGGTTTCACTCAAAATTTGTGAGATAGGTTGTTGAGAGCTCCCGTAGACCATGGAACTTGTGACATGATGCAGATGATGTCAATTGCTTCTTAGTCCTACTTCCTCCTCCCCTCACCTGCCAGCATGTGTGCCGATGCAGAGCGCACGAGCCAGTAGAGCACATAGCTGCATGCATGCATGTGTGCGCGCGTGCATGCGTGCGTGCGTGCGTGGGCGGGAGGCATATGTGTGTGTGGAGGGAGACTCGCCTGCAGCCGCAGCATGTGTGCCGGTGCAGAGTGCACGAGCCAGTAGAGCACATAGCTGCATGCATGCATTGGGGGCAGATGTGACACATGTGGGTTGGATTGGGGATACAAGGGTCGGGGGACATGCAATGCAGCGGTAGACATGGCATGGCTGGCCGGTGGTTGCATGCAAAAGAAGGCGAAAGCAGAAAGGTCAGCGCACCCGGAGCGAAAGAGCAGGGAGCGAAAGAGCAGGGAGCGAAAGAGAAGTGAGTGAAAGAGCAGTGAGTGAAAGAGCAGTGAGCGAAAGAGCAGTGCAGTTAGCGAAAGAGCAGTGACGGTACACCCGGCCCTTTCAGTGTACCATAGAGGAGGCAGTCATCATTACAAAGGAATGTGAGAGCCGAAAAGGCCAGTGTATCTTGCACTGGAGTGGTGGGCGCTGATGATTCATAAACATGTTACATATGTACAATAGCTCTCTCAAGGCCCAGCGTACCCAGGGGTGGAGTAGTGATTGCCGTAGAGGAAAGGCTTGGTGCGCTCTGATCCACTCTTGTCCCAAGGCATCTGGTGTGTGTGTGCGGGGGGAGGGAAGGGGAGGTGGGTGGGGTTGGTGGGGTGGTGAGATGAGCTTTTAGTTGACGCAAAGGCTTGGTGTGCTCTGACCCTCTCTTGTCCCGAGGCATCTGGTGTGTGTTTGTGGGGACGCGGGGGCAGTGGGTGTGAGTGCATGTGACGGACGGAAGAGCAGTGGACAACATATGAGACCTAAAGAATTCGGAACTCGGAAGAATGTAACTAGTGGTACAGTAATGTTATTCTCAAGACCCTGACTCACTCCCATCCCGAGGCATGTGACTTGTGTATGGGGGGGTGAGGAAGTGGGGGTTGGTACAGGGCGGAGATGAGAGGAGTGGCAAACCAAGCATGGCAAAAAAAAAAAAGATGGCACGAGTGGCAAGCAAGGGCTGTACTATCGACATAAATGAAGAGAAAGGGAATGATGACGGGATATTAAAAGGCAAGACAGTAGCTGGCAAATGATGGACAGAGGTGGAAGGTGTGGTCTTGTGGAACCGATCCTTGATTCACTGCGCCGCTCCTCCACTCACTGCACCGCCCGTTGCCTCATTGTACCACTCGTTATCGCAATGTGCCACTCCTTACCTCATCGTACCGCTCTCTGAACACTGCAAGGCGTGCCGGGTTGAGTGCTCCAACTGGCTGCGAAGGTGGGGAGGGAGAGAGAGAGGAGCAAGGATGAATGGAGAGATAGGTGAGGAGGGGAGAAGGAGATAGGTGAGAAGGCGTCAAGGAGAGAGGTGAGAAGGGGAGAAGGAGATAGGTGAGAAGGCGTCAAGGAGAGAGGTGAGAAGGGGAGAAGGAGATAGGTGAGAAGGCGTGAAAGAGAGAGGTGAGAAGGGGTGAAGGAGAAAGGAGATAGTTGAGAAGGGAAGAAGGAGAGATGTGAGGAGTGAAAGAGAGAGGTGAGGAGGGCAGGCAGGGCAGTCGCCAAGTCACACATGGTAAGGCAGGCACGCAGGCAGGCAGAGGGCTCACACCTTGGAGAGGTCTCTAAAGGATGATGGGTCGTCGAGGTTCAAGTGCGGGCTGGTGTAATCCGCGAGCACCCACGGCATGACCGGCCACTGTGCCAAGTCACTCACACATGCTAAGGCAGGCACGCAGGCAGACGGACAGGCATAGAATTCACCTTGGAGAGGTCTCTGAAGGACATTAGGCGTCGTCATAACGGCAGCAGGCAAAGGCAGGTAGGAAGCAGGCAGCTGACAGGGGGCACTAGATAGTAGGCCGCAGGCAAAGACAGAGACAGCAGGCAGTAGACAGGAGGCAGCATGCAGTAGACCGCAGGCTCAGACAGAGGCAGTAGGCAGTAGGCAACACAGGCAACGTGCTAGGCAGTAGCAGGCCCCAATCAAGCTCCTAAGGTGGCGCTCTAGACAGTAGCAGGCCGTGCAACTCTAAGGCAGCGGGCTCGGCAGCAGCAAGCCGCACAGGCAGGCACACTAGCAGGGCACGCGCGGCTGCTGGCTGCGTGCGGCTGAGGGCTGCGCGCGGCTGCTGGCTGCGCGCGGCGACGAGCTGCGCGCGGCTCCTGGCTGCGCGTGGCGACAGGCTGCGCGCGGCTCCTGGCTGCACGTGGCGACGGGCAGCGCGCGCGACTGCGTGCTGTGTGCGGCGACGGGCTGCGCGGGCGTAACCTAAGCAGGCTGCGTGCGGGCGGCGTAAGGGGCGCACGGGCGGGGCCGAAACGGGCTTCGCGGGTGGGTCCTAAACGAGTCGCGCGGGCTGCTTAAGAGGCGCGCGCGGGAAAAAAAAAAGGCCACGCGCGTGCAGCCGAGGCGCGCGCGGGCTCTAGGCAAGGTAGGTACGTTTTAGTGAGGCGAAATAGGTAACGGTGGGCCCTAATCCTAGGTCCTAAGGACCTATGCTCTAGATGCCATGTTAAGTCTTAGGCAAAGTTCATTTGGACTATCGAGAGTTTTGGTGCAAAAGGAAAAGCCTAAGGGGTTGCACCCCACAGTGAGTACCCCACTAAAGCCTACCTAAACTACAACATATAAACATATGTTTGACATACGAGGCTGACGCAGTTGGAGCTGAGGGACTGTTGCCTGCTGAACCAAGCCCCCCAGGGTCTTCCGCTCAGTCTGCGGGCTCTTTGGTACGAAAGAAATCAGCCGATGGTGCCACTCAGGGCTGACTTTTCAAATTTAGGTACCCTGATTTCAACCTAATTTTTTTTGTTTTTACCCTGAAGGCACATTTTCCAGAAAACCAGCACCCTGATTGCTCAGGGTTGAGAAGTAGTGAACTCTGAATGTTCAGGGTCGAGAATTTAAAATCAGGGTCGTAGTAACGCGCTCTTTCTTTACCGAGGACAGAAGTCTCACTCAATCAGAAGTCTCATTCTTTACCCTAATCGCAACATGTGCTCGAAATCTGATAGTCTATTTCGACCAATAACAGCAACCTAAAATCTGACATTACAGATTCGCACGATCTAGATGGTGGGTGTATGGGAACGAAACTTCGAAGAAACTTCGTCTCGATAAAGCGGGGGGGGGGGGGGGGGGGGGGGAGGATTACGCACGTGGGGGGCACTGAAATCAATGCGAAGGGGTTATCAGGAGGAAATTTCCGAGAAACTTCGCCCCGATAACATCGCATTCAGGGTCCACAGGCCTCGTACTCTGTATTGACAGGGTCCGTGAAAACCCTACACTGAGAGTGTACACAAAATTTCAGGGTCCGCTAAAGCAATACTCTGAATGGATCAGGGACCAAAATGTGAAAAACCTGATTTCTCAGGGTCCAAAAAGTGACAAGTCTGAAATCACCCTGAAATCAGGGTAATTACCCTGATAAAATCAGCCCTGGTGCCACTGCCAGATGTTTCAAGACTTACCGGGCTCAAGGAGCTGTGCTTGGGCCCTGTGGATGCAGCCTGTATTGAGGCCGTCAGTGAGAATCTCTGCGGTGTTAGGCATTTGGAGGTGGAGCTGACAGAAGGAGCAGAGGAGTCTCTGTTTGCGCTGACTAGGCTTCCTCACCTCCGCACCTTGACACTCAGGAAGGCCTGCAGTGTGAACGCGCTGGTGGAATCTGAAGGCTCAGGTTTCCAGGAGCTACGGCAGCTGAATGTTATCACCTTTCGTGATGGACTCACCGCCTGACATCCATGAGAATCCTCTCGGAAAACTTGTCTTCTCTTCCGCACGCCTTTGGGGCATTCTCAAGGCTGCGCAAGCTGGAATTATAATGCTGCTCATCGCTCACGCATCTCCCTGCGTCCCTCACGCAGCTCTCGTGCCTGTATGAGCTGAGCGTCGCAAACACCTGCATTTGGCTGCTTCCTCCTGGCTTTTCTCAGCTCAGCAGGCTGAGGAAGCTCAATCTTCATGATTGCAAGCATCTCAAGGCACTGCCTCATGACTTCTATGATCTCAGAATGCTCAATAACTTTAACACTACAGGGTGTGACTGCCAAACTAAGCATATCGGTACTAGTTCGAGGTGTATAGTTTCGTAGCATAGGCCAGGTGGGAGCTTTGCACTAGGTTTGCTCTGCCCACACCGTACTAGTACATCTCTTCACCATTTCTACCAGACTTTTCTTGCAGTATTTCATCATCTCAACATAACATGCAGCCAGTGAAATGAAAACTGCTGCAGTCTGCATGACACACACAACCTCCCCCTTCCTTTTCGCCCTCCCACCGCCACCACCACCACATCTCTCCAACTTTGCCTGACCTTCAGCACTGGCCTTTACCAGTCGGCAAGACCCCATTCTCTGTGAAACCTCATGCCTTGGTAAATGCTTGTCCATGTGTGAAGCTTTTCCACCTCTCCAAACCTCCATGCACCTATGAAGCCTCACCATCTCTGCAAGCCCCCATGAGTCTACAAAGCTTCACGCCTCTGCCAAGATCTTCCTCTCTTCCTCAGGAATAGCCAATCTTTGAGGTGCCTCAAAAGACGTATCTGCAATGCAAACCCCCCTGCAGCTGTGAAACTTCACGCCTCTGCCAAGCTCTTCCTCTCCTCCTCAGGTATAGTCAACCATTGAGGTGCCTCAAAAGACGTATCTGCAATGCAAACCCCCCCTGCACCTGTAAAGCTTCACGCCTCTGCCAAGCTCTTCCTCTCTTCCTCGGGAATAACCGACCAATTTGGAGACGGCACCGCACGCGGCCAACCAAAATCGTCCACGTGGGCCCACAGCCCTCCATCCACTGCCAGGTCAGCATCTTTCAAATCCGCCTCCAACCCATCATACTCCCTACTATATGGCGCGAATCTGACACCCTTAGAGTGCTCTATAAGCGGCCTGCTGCGCGTCCGAACATAGAAATCGGCGCGCTCTGTCTGGTATATCCTCAGCTGATGGCTCGCGACGGCTACAGTGCTGCCTGACGCGTCCTCCACGTGGCAGGCTCCTGACACCGGGCAGAGGCTGACGTGGCAGTCGCGCACGTGGCGGAGGAAGACGGTAGAGAGGACACCTCGAACGGACACGCGGCAGTGGGAGAGGTGCTGCAGCATGAGCTCGCCGCGTCTGTGCTGCTCTGGCGAGATCTGGATGTGCTCGTGCGAGCGGTGGGAGATGGAGAGAGAAGGGTGCGCGGAGCTGATTGGTGGGATGACAGATGGGACCTCCGCGGATGCTCCGGATTCTCCTGCCTCTCCCAGTGCTGCTGCTCCGGATGCTCCTCCTGCCGCGGATGCTGCTGCTGCTGTTCCTGCCGCCGCATCTCCTGCCGCTTCTCCTCGCGCTGCTGTCGTTCCTGCTCCCCTCGGATCGCCCTCCTGCGCCAGCTGAAAACCACCCACTTCGTGTAGCGACGGCGTCGGCTGCTCAAGAGATTTCTGGGAGGACGAGGCGTCTTTATTTTCTGAAGAGGCTTTTTTCTGCCCTCTCGAGGAGAAGGCGAATCGTTTCTTGGGCTTCGAGGCGGATCGAGCTGATTCTAGGTTGGCGCGAAGCGCGGCCACGCGTGAAGTCATCTGCTCCACGTCACGCCGCGGGACCGACGGCGCGAAATGTGCTACGATATCTTCCACCGCGCGAAGCGCTGCCACCGCCGCTTGATCAGCGTTCGATCCGGTCCGTTGATTGGTTCCTGCATCGCCAACTTGCTGACTACTTTCCCCGCCGTTGATCCCCGGCTGTGCAGATTCAGCAACGGAATCGGAATTTCCGGAACTTAAAGCTCGAATCGCGGCTTCCAGCGCGTCGCATTTCTCGCGAAAGGCTAGGAAGACGGACAGCTGGCCTTGCTCCTCGTCCATGTGCGCGTGAGTGACGTGGCGGACACGAGGCTACAAGTATTCCGTCGAATGTAAAGCAGGAAAATCTGCGACAAGCATGAGGCGCGGAAGCCCCTGTGGTAACGGTGCGGTGCGGATGACAGAACGGCTCGTGCAACGAACGGTCATGAAAAGAGGACCTCTCAGGAAGAGATCTCGTTAGAGAAGATCTGATGCAATAGCGGTCTAAAGCGGTGAACCCTTCCTGATCCGAGGTCAAGTTGTCGAAAATCCCTGACATGAGAAATTTTCTAAACTACCAATCGTGTTGCAATATCTAACTACCACTACACTTTTCAAAAGCTTCATGCATGGCATGACATGCTACTATGTCACTATAGGAAACGACCCACATCTGTAGACATGGTTTCAGATTTGTTTATTTGTTTGCAAGTAGTAAATGTATAGCTAGAAATACCTTTTTGCTTTGTGGGGTGTGATCAAGCAAGGGTAAAGAAAAAAATCTATCGAATCTGGCGGGTAGCCATGGAATGGAATACTACAAGTTCATTTGTTCGTGGATTGAGTTAGTTTTTTCAATTTGAGCACATGTTTATGCAATCTCTACCACTCATGCAAAGAAAAGCATGCGCAAAGGATGCACATTTTAGTGTTTTTCAAGCTAGTACAAAGTTTGCAAAGCAGGCTCTAAAACTCACTGCTCCATTTTGCACCTTCTGGCTTTCAAATAGGGAGCTGTTGTGTGCATACGTATCATTGAAAGTGCTTGAAAAGCTTGCTGAACATATATTTGAGTGGCCTTATCTCTCACAATCCAGATACGCCTATGAACTTCCATAAGAAA